GAAATATTATATTATATATCAGCATCATTACTCCAGTCTTCAGTGTCACATGATCCTGCAGAAATCATTATAATATTTGCTGCTCAAGAGACATGTATTATTATTGCTGCTTTATATTTGTGTGGAAACCGTGATGCATTTTTCTGAATTAATTTTAAATATAGTAACAATGTAATGTAATGTAATAATGTGGCAATGCTTCTGATGCTTTCGGGAAACACAGCCCTATTTGAACGAGCACTGTGAGCCATGCTTCAGCAGCGAATGCTGTGCCTGTGATTGATTGGTTCTGACTTTCAGCATTTGCGTGTGTTCCGATGAGCAGGAGAAATGGTTCTATTTAACACAATTATTCGTTAATATAGTCTCTGGTGAAACTGATTGCAGGGATATAACTAAAGACAGGACAAACGAACAAAAACATAAAAACAACTGGCGCCATTGTCCATTGTCCACAACATCAGTATCAAAAGTATCGATACTTAAGGATCGATCCGCCCATCCCTATTCTGCACTTATAATAAGCGCAATCGCATCAAGCACATCACACTCCTCGTCCATGCTTCTCTAGCCACTCCAACTTTCCAATAATTCCTACACACTAAAAGCTGCACGTGATTGTCATATCACTAAGTCCTAACATGCACACTTGACAAGCTAGTTGATCAAATAAAAAACAACAACTGATTAACTATCAAAACTGCTTGGCTAATGCTATTTTTCCACTTGTCGGTGCTCTACTGTTCTTTCATGTTAACTCAAGGCAAATACGAATGATGCTTTAATCAACAAGTACAATTGACCATGACATCCTCACCTTTTCTTATTCCAGAAAAGTCGTTCACCCAATGCCTAATGGAGTTGTACATGAATGTTTGGGTTGGGGTTGAGGGAAGGGGGCATGTCTGAACTAGTTGATGCATGAAATTCACACCTAACTGGTGGGGTGAACTAATGAGCATTACCGTCTTGTCACTGTTTAGACAAAAAAGTGTCAAATTTCTAGACATCAATTTTTAATCACAGAAATACACAGAGAAAGAAAGGACCCAGCCACATTAACATCAGGCTTTGAATGTATATAAACCTGGGTGACATCTGTGTTAAAGTAAAATTTGATACCAAGTAAAAGTTGACCAAGAGGATAAATGTAGATGCTAAAAAGGGCCCTTAATTGATCCTTGAGGAACACCAAATTGCACAACACCAATATCAGACCTGCAACCACCGACAGCTACAAACATGCTTTCGATCTAAGAGATAGGACTTAAACCAGCTTAGTGCAGTATCAGAAACACCAAAGACAGACTCTAGTGAGTAAGTCAATTTGAATGATCAACAGTGTGTCGAAAGCGGCACTGAGATCAAGAAGAATCAAAATAGAAAGGCAGCTAGAATCAGTAGTGACCTTAACTAATGCTGTTTCAGTACTGTGGAGTTTATGAAATCCCGGTTGATGACTAATCAGTTACCAAACATCAGATATCAGCTAATGAATGTCAATGCTCTTATACTGTATGTCTGCATGATGCTGATACTTACACATTAATTAATTTTATGTAAACTTATTAATGTAAAATGATCAGACCTGTATATCACCGAATCATTTATTCTGCAGGGTGATTTACACCACTAACACAAATGTTTGCTACTCAAAAGTGTTACGGAGAGCCGTGAAAACATGAAGTGTCTAGTCTATCAAGCATTTCCCCATGAACACACTGTGCTACATGATATGGGGCCTGTCAAAAATGATGTATGCACCAAAATACAAGGGCAGAAAATAAATATTTTGGTACAAGCTTGAACAAAGTCTCAAAGGAAGGGTTGACAGTTTATATTGAAACATGACAAAACTACATTCTTAAATGGTTTTCCTTAAAAGTCTCACATCCTGTTCACACTACATAATAGAACCAGATTATGTTTTGTTATTTGTTCTATAACACAGGTTTCTTTTCATACAGATTAACCTGTCCCACACCTTCGTATGGAAAAACTTACCGCAATAAAACATCATAGGTTGCAAGTGGTGCAAGATATTGCTGAGCTTCAGAGCTTACTGTAAAACCGATATCACGCTGAAGAAAAGTGGAGTTTCCTGCTTTACAGTGCCAAAGACTTACTCACAAGATTAGATGTTCAAAGAAAAAAATAATTCAAAGACACAAAGCCATTATGTCTTCATATTTATTTAGAAAATACAATCACATTATGATGGATGTAGAGTATATTTTACATCACAAATATAATCAACAGTCATAGCAGGCACCACAATAAGCTTATGAATATCCCTTGTAAATTTGACTTTGGTGAATGTAAATTGCCATCAAATGTCAGATTGTGAAATAGCTGGTGAAGCCATTTAAAATGACTGTACACCCAAAACACGTGAATTAAATAAAAACGTCTTCCATCTCTATCTCCTAAAGAAAAAATAACACATGGTCCCTAGCAAACAACCATCACCAAAACAGCACAAAGTTATTGCAATTTTAAAATAACATTATTGGTTGCCATCTCAATTGTTATATTGCACAAATGATCAAACGATTAACAAGAAATAACAGTTATTGCGAATGAAAAAGGTGCATATGGCTCTCTTAAAACAGTCAAAACGCCCACAACCTTCACCAGAAACTTATTACTGTGAATCATTTTGAGAGCATGTGCTGTCAGAGAAGAAATATTTCATATCAAAGAAAGAAGAAACATCTCTAGATTTTGGGGTGGATTTGTCGAAATATCTTTGATGCCACAGTGCTTTAAAAGAGGAAGACCTATGACTGGATAAAGCTGACAGTCAGCTTGACAGTGTTTCAAAAGTCTCTTTCAACTGATCAACCAGCCTGAAAGGGTTGAACAGAATGTGAGAAATTCTCATTAAAAACACATGCAGACATACACATGCTGATAAAAAAAAAGAAAGAAAGAAACTGAAATGACAGAATTGACATCTGCCTGATACTGAGACTAAAGAGAAAAAAAACGTGGAATGAAAATGAACTGGAAAAAAATACACTATTATTATCACATATACAGTATAATGCATAATATGGAGAGACACTGTAAAATACAGAGTTATCAAACACTATATTGTCTATATATGTGACCCTGGACCACAAAACCAGTCATAAGGGTCAATTTTTCAAAATTGAGATTTATACATCATAACATAGCATAAATAAGATTTCCATTGATGTATGGTTTGTCAGGATACGACAATATTTGGCCGAGATACAACTATTTGAAATTCTGGAATCTGAGGTTGCAAAAAAATCAAACTATTGAGAAAATCGCCTTTAAAGTTGTCCAAATGAAGTTCTTAGCAATGCATATTACTAATCAAAAATTAAATTTTAATATATTTACAGTAGGAAATTTACAAAATATCTTCATGGAACATGATCTTTACTTAATATTCTAATGATTTTTGGCATAAAAGAAAAATCAATAATTTTGACCCATACAATGTATTTTTGGCTATTGCTACAAACATACCCCAGCAACTTGAGACTGGTTTTGTGGTCCAGGGTCACATATAATCTTTAGTTTTCCTATTCAGTTCTTTTGCATAACCAGTGGAATGTAATAAGATGTAATATATATCTTGGAAAGAATGGGTTTGGCTATTCCAGACATTTCTGTGAGGACAAATGTTAACTGTTGCCGCAATGTTGGAAGCCAATTTTCTATAATGTCAGTGCATGTGTAGCATTAAGACTGTGCTCAGTGGAATTAAAGGAATAGTCCATATATTTTTGGCCATATAAACATACATGAAGAAGTAGTAGAATGACAAAATTATTTTCAATTGTCAACAACTAAGTCTCAAAATTGGAAAGAATCCATGCAAAAACACAAATGGGAAAGTCAAGACTGTGCTCAGTGGAATTAAAGGAATAGTCCATATATTTTTGGCCATATAAACATACATGAAGTAGTAGAATGACAAAATTATTTTCAATTGTCAACAACTAAGTCTCAAAATTGGAAAGAATCCATGCAAAAACACAAATGGGAAAGTCACCCCCCCCCTTTTCTTACTCACTTAATTGAGATAATTATTTGAAAATTTCAACATCTTCCTCCACTAACACAAAAGGTTGCATCAGTGCTTTGATAACACCATGTTTTTTGCACATGTACATGGCAAGACCAAGAAATTCTAGAAGTACTCTTAAAGGAACAGTTCACAGCTCGAAATGAAAATTTGCTAAAAATGTACACTCAGGCCATCCAAGATGTAGATGTTTATTACAAACACAGTTTTTCTCTTCACAAGATGTTAACTGATGAACTGGAATCGTGAGGATTACTTGGATTATTGTGATATGGCACCCATTCACTGCAGAGGATCTATTGGTGAGCAAGTGATGTAATGCTAAATTTCTCTATATCTGTTCTGATGAAGAAACAAACTATATTTTGGATGGCCTAAAAGGGAGTAAATTTTCAGCAAATGTTCATTTTTGGCTGAACTATTTCTTTAAGCACCATGTAAAGACTGGTACATAAATGGTTATCACTCAGTACAATGATATATTAAAGTGCCATGATTAGTAATATTACCAGAGTACTTCTTAGTCCAGTCTGACAACTTAGCAGAACTTTAGTCAAAATTATGGCCAACGTGGTGCAATTTACACCTGCTTAATGCTACCAAATGGTCATTATGACAGGTTCTCCTGTGATATATGGCAACAATTTGCAGCACATCATGTGATTTATGGCTCTATAATTACAGCTGTGGCTTTAACCCAATTAAAAACCAGCAAATTTGAATAAGACCGTAGCAAAATACAGCAAACTTCTACAGACCAATAAGACTGCGTCAAAAAGTGCAATAAAATTTAACAGTGGTTAACACGGTCACAAAAAAAGCACAGAAAAATGAACAATTTCACTCTTTTGAGACACAAACACAAAACAGCTTTAAAACACACAAAATACTTTTTCAGAGGATAGATATGTGTAATGAGGAACCCTATACAACCCTTCAGATATAACAGAACTACTCCCCTGTGAATGTCTATTGAGGACGCCGCATACCCTAAAGGTATTAGATCTGCACTGAAATTTCAAATCCTATTCCCTTGTTTAATTAAATATTCATTCATGAAGAGCTTTTCATGTTAATTAGTGATCTGACTGGTGTTTAATTAAAATGGAAGCCAAATCTTCAAGACGATGCCTAGTGTTGCAGGTGTTATAAAAATGTAGTATCACAATGGTGAGGTTTTATTCTGTAATCAAGAACAATGATGTTAGAAGCCAGAGGTCGCCCCATCCATCCTCCTTTGATAAGGACCAATCCTCAAAAGAGCAGAACAGGATGGCAGCTGATTCATTAAGACTGGAATAATCTATTACAGTACTGACTGAAGAAGTAGAGAAATAACTTCAAGTGATGGAAAACAAGTGAAACCTGTTTACACTTCTCCAACTTAAACTCATGTATCTGTTCTAATGTGAACCTAAAACCTTGGATATTACTGGCAGAAGATATGTGACTTTACATTCAAGAAAACGTGATAAACTCATGCACATAAAGCAACTTGACAGACATTAAGGAATTATTACCAGCATACTGGCAGCAAACAAATGTGTCTAGATCCTCAAATAATGGGGACCTCAGTCTTAGCTTCTCATTGAAGCTGTCCAATCGTGCTTTGCAACATGACTGGAGACAACCAGAGCATCTCAACCAAATTATACTGCCAGTAGCCCATGAGGAAACCAAACGTGACATCCGTCACGTGATGGCGTCCAAGGAGAACTCTAGAAAAACCAACAAATGTGGCCCAGAGCAGGACAAGAACGCGGAGTGGGGCTGCCAGCACCAGATGGGCCAATAGAAAGCGGGCACACATTGCAGCACGTGTGGCATGGCCTGATGGGAAGGAATAGCCATCCACAGAGAACGTGGCAAACATGTCCATACGGTTATGGGCAGGACGCCGTCGCCGTACTAGAGCTTTCATCATGCCGACCAGGACCAGGTCCAGAACCAAGGCTGAAAAATAAATTATGAAAACGTAAGTCAGGCGAACTTGTATCCAACCTAAATATTAATATAGTACTTGGGATAGTTCACCCAAAAATTTTAATTACCCCATGATTTACTTGCCCTCAAGTCAGTGTACATGACTTTCTTCTTTCAGACAAATACAATTGAAGTTATATATAAAAAAATGTCCCGGCTCATCCAAGCTTTGTAATGGCAGTGAATGGTAGTCAAGATTTTGAAGCAAAATAAAGTGCATAAATCTATTATAAAAAGTGCTCCACATGGCTCGGGGGAGTTAATAAAAGCCTTCTGAAGTGAATTGATGCGTTTGTGTAAGAAAACTTTCCATATTTAAAACTTTATAAACTTTAATGTCTAGCTTTCGCTAACTGTCGTACGCATGTTCACAAGAGAGTGGCGTTCCATCGGATGACGTAGTACTAGGGCTGTGCAATTAATCGCATGTGATTCTCAAGCGCATCTTGTCAGTAAAGCCGGTTCCGTGATTGGTAGTAAATCTCCATCACTTTGGAGCTAAACTCTGCAGGACACCGGCCCTCCAGGACCGAGTTTGGACAGCCCTGGTGTAGTAAATGCCCCTCAATCTGAAAGCAGGTGATGGAGATTTACTACCAAGCACAGCATAAGCTCCGGTGAGAAGTGACGAACACAGAGCAAAACAAAACACTGGTCACAAATAGTACAAAACGAGGATTTGTAAAAAAAAAAATGTTGGAAGACTTCGAAATAAACCAAGAGGAAACTGGTTTTCCTTTGCTGTAAACAAAACTTGGTTCTCGCGATACTAGCTTATGCCACTCTCTCATGAATGTGCGTACAACAGTTGGCGGAAGCTAGAGATTACGGTTTATAAAGTTTTAAATATGGATACAACACAAATGCATCGATTCACTTAAGAAGGCCTTTATTAACCCCCTGGAGCCATGTGGAGCACTTTTTTATGATGGATGAACGCACTCTCTTTTGTTTCAAAATCTCGACTCCTATTCACTGACATTACAAAGCTTGGAAGAGCCAGGACATTTTTTTAATAAAACTTTGTATTCGTCTGAAAGAAGAAAGTCATACCTAGGATGGCTTGAGGGTGAGTAAATCATGGGGTAATTTTCATTTTTGGGTGAACTATCCCTTTAAGGCCAGTTCACACTGCATCAACAGACGCAGACCTAGCCAAGAGTCATGAGATTGCAACCAGAAAAACAAATGCAGATCTACGGCTACAGACGTTGAAAGGAGTAATGCACTGATCCGACAAAACCTGATGAACATGTTTGTTGCTGTTTGTCTCCATCTGTCATGCAATGTGAATTGGCCTTTATAGGATGCCTTAATAAAACGTGTTTGTAGCTATGTCATATACACATTTGCATTAAGCCCACCTAATAGCTGCTTTGGCCTGTCCTCAAAGAATAGTTGGGTAAGCGATTTTGCTAAGTTAAGGAGATGCTGCAAGGCCAAAAAGCATTGTATGATCCTCCACTACTCATGCCACAGTTAGCAAATATAATCCTTTTTACAGCTGCTCATGAAGCCGTGGGAACTGAAATCCGATAATGGTAAGGACCAAAAGCATTTCAGGCAGTGGGAGTTTCTGGCACTTTCTTTTAATGCAAACTAATTCTTAGAGCAAATGTATCACTTGTGTTTTACAGCCCCACTTGCAGTAGGTCCTGTTGATGGGAACCATTTCACCAATCATGGTCAACTACAACTGGTCACACAGAAGACATTTTTCCACAGTGATGAGTGGAACGATCTTTTCAGAATACTTTATGATTGATTACAGCTGCCTCTGAACACAAGGCATTGTGATTAAAAATTAAATGTAAAAGATGTTAAATTGGGCGAAGATGTTGTAACAAATCACCTCTGGAAACAGACCAAACACTGTTTCATTAACAAGCTGAATAGGCCATGCATCCAGTTCAAAGTAGTTTTTAAAAATGTCAACATTAATGACTGGGATGTCAAAGTAACAGGGTGTCAGTGGAACGACACAGCTGCTGTAGTGGGATTAGTGAGTGAGTGAATATTTCTGTAGTGGGATTAGTGATTTCCTCTGGAAATACCGCAGAGAATCATGATAAATATGTCTGGATCTCTCTGCAGCAACAAACAAGAAGCCTGTTGCATTTTAAACGGGTTGCCAATAAGCCACATCAATAATGGAAATCTAAACTGAATGGAAACATGATTCACCTGCAGGAACACCAGGCACTGAAAACATCTGAATAAAAGAGAGGTCTAAAAGAAAAAGACGAGGGATGCGTCATATGGAAAGTGGAAGGAGAAGGTGGCTATGATATGCGTCTTGCATCATGGAAGAGAATGAGCCTGAAATAGAGCCAGAAAGAGTGGTGAAAATATATAAGAAATCAAAATATGAAGCCAGCCTATAAGACTGATATTAGCTGACTAAACAAAAGGGCTGATGGAGATACATGGACAGCAGTGTCTTAGATTAAAAAAAATGGTCCAGGTTCAATAAAGGAAAATCTGAAAATTAGCACTGGATTCCCTATGAAAATTTCTAATAAGTTTTTCGTATGACAGTTTCAGAGAATTAATAATAAGCTATGAGGTTTAAATTAGCCTATGTGAAATTTCATGACTTTTATGTTTTGTTGTACACTCTTAAAAATAAAGGTGCTTCACGATGCCATAGAAGAACCTTTTTGTCTAAATGGTTCCATAAAGAACCTTTAACATCTGAAGAACCTTTCTGTTTCACAAAAGGTTCTTTGTGGCGAAAGAAGGTTTTTCAGATTACAAAAAGGTAAGAAAGAGATGGTTCTTTAAAGAACCTTTGACTGAATGGTTCTTTGTGGAACCAAAAATGATTCTTCTATGGCATCGCTTGAAGAACCTTTTGAAGCACCTTTATTTTTAAGAGTGTACAAAATATTATATACCTCAGGGGTGAATTCTAAAGCTGGTCTTTTTTTTTTTTTTATTAAACCCAAGAGATTAGTGGCTAAATTATTAAAAAATTGAAAAATATCATGCAGACACTATTCAGTTACAATGCAAGTCTATGATGCAGTGCAGTGCAGCAAGAATACACATTAAAATACAGTTTACAAAGTATAGCCACAAGACTTCACAATACATCACATGATTTTGTTCACCAACATTTCCTCTGCAAAATTGAATCGGTTTTTAACCTCCGTTTTACTCCTTAAAAGTAAGAGTTTGACTGTTTTCTGAAAAATCCACTTTAAGGAATGACACACGCATAACACTCAGCACCATCCAAAAATACTATTTAGATTTTACAGCACAAAAAAAAAAACATTTTGTACAGAAGAATAAATAAAAGTCTTTTAACAAAAGCATCACATTCATACTTTTTAACACTAGGAACGTCTTCCCATATTGACCTACATTGCAAGAGCAACATTGCATGTCTGAGTGGTGTCTATATGGCAGGGGTTTTCAATGTGGGGCCCACGCCATTACAGCGGGCCGCAATAGAGTGCAAGGGGGTCTGTGTAAAAATCAGTGCTACCAGAAAAAAAATACATATATAATAAAGATTTGTCTAAAGAAATACATTTCATTAAAATAAAACATATATTCAAATAAAGCAAAACTAAATTACTCATTTTAAAAACAATACATTTAAATAAAATAAATCAATTGATTAAAATAAACGTGATTGACTAAATAAAAATGATTTATTAAATAATTTAAGTAAATAAATGCCTTGATTTACTACTTAATACAGCTAACAGTATAGTGCCATTTTCTACTGTAACGTAATCAAAACGAAACATTTTACAATAATTTATTATATGAATTTTTCACAGTAATAATAATATATAGGCCCTAGCCTTTGCCATTTAAGGATGGGGTGCCTTGCATGAAGACGATCATATTTGGGGCTCAGGGGGCATCTGAAAGATCGAACACCCCTGTTCTATGGTAAAGTCATTTGAAATCCGACCACTTCATTAGTAAGCAGCAGTTAAAGCGCATTACCCATGAGCAGGTTCAGCATGACCTCCTGACCGGCGGCGCTGTCGCTTTTGTACAGGCAGTAGACGGCACCGGCCAGCCACGGGATCCCGTGTCCGGAGATCTCGACGAGCTTCATGAGCGGCCGCACGCTGCCCCAGGACGCGTCCTCACAGGCGCACACCCCGAGGCGCTTCGACAGCCACAGGTCGATGGCCAGCAGAGAGCTGAGCGCGATCCCAATGAAGGACGGGTTCAGTTTCATACAGTCTTCCTCCGGTAACTGCTGCCCGCCGGTGGAGGAGGTGGACGACCCCGAGCCGCGTCGCCGGCTGGGGCTCTCGGATGCTCGGAGCCGGGCCGCGGTGGGATCGGAGCCCTGCCTCTGCAGCAGGTGCGGCGGGGGAGTCCGGCTCAGAGAGACGAACTCGTAGCGCCCGTTTCCACCGGCGCACGGAACACTGCCGCTGCGCGCCGCGCTGCTCCGCGCTTTGGGAGAAGGCATTTTACTTCACTAATGCCAAGACAGGCTAGTCCGATACTATTGGAATGTCTTCTGTGTTCTAATATAGCTTTTGGATCTATCTTTTTCAGGTCGTAGTCTTACAGGTGATAACAGAGAGCTGGTCTTACTGGACTACCGTGCAGCGCCATCTTTGAAAAGCAGCTCTCTGCGCAATGCACACTGGGGGAAAAAATGGTAACGTTATTCTTCAGCCATGTGACTACATTACAAAATAAGTTAACATAGTTATTACGTTAAATAATAATGAAGTACTATAATACAAAAGTGGATTTAAAACAGTACAAAAGCGTATGATAGGTTTTAGAGTCATCTGAATAAAATATTGAAATATTGTTCCACATCATCAGGTCACTCACATTCATGCAAGTACAGACCACTGCATAATTTGTTGAGTATTTGTGTTTTAGGATGAGTCTTTTGTGCTTTACCTGACATACGATATTAGAATAAATGTTAGTTATTAAAAATGCAAACAAGTCATTTATGCAATGGTGTTTAAGTATGAACAGCATGTCAAATGTCAAAATTATTATAATAAACGCAAGGTAAAAATCAACATGAAGAAAGAAGCTGTCTGATATTTTAACTAAATTATATATATATCTATATTTATGATTAATAAATAAACTGACATGCAGAAGGCGAGATTTGTCATTGGTCAGGTTCTACTACAGCAGTTGGGGTTTCTTCCATGTGCAATGATAAAATACTGAATAAAGCAGAAAACACATAAATGCATTTGTCTACATTCTTTTGATTAAAAAGTCTTGCAGAAAATGCACTTACGTCTTATCTGCTCAATGCAATATTTTATTTATGATGTAGAGACATTAAAATGTATTTTAAAAACCCAGAGTTTTCTCAAGTTCTTCGTGTGTTTTTTACAGTCTATGGTTCTTCGTTTAATCTTTGAACTCTGAGAGGCGGCGGCGTTTCGTCCAATCAGAAGCATCGCCCCGCCCACCTCTGATTTCCTGATACATATAAGCCGCCATTCCACGCTCACGCGAGCCGACTATAACACAAGTGCAAAGGAAAACAGCAATGCCTGGAATTCTGTTGGGAGACGTGTTACCTAACTTTGACGCAGAGACTACAATCGGCAAGATCAAATTTCATGAATTCTTGGGAAATTCGTAAGTAGCTCAATAGGCTAATTTTGTTTCTGAGCGAGCAGGCCTAATCGGACACGATCTCTCTGCGTTTATTGTGGTTTGACACATTGACGCATGATCATTAGGTGCCTGATGTGCGACATATTAATATGACCGTTACCTTACCAATATAATGGTATTGTGATGGCATATAGCGACATGCATCCGCTTTTCTATGTCGAGCGTTATACTTGAACTGAATAATGTTATTAGCAATATTTTTTTTTTCTTAAAAACAAAAAAATATTATTTCTTATTGCAGCAGAGTTGGCTTTCAGGGAGTCTGAAAGACCCTTAATGCTGAGTTTAAGCCATAAGAAATCTGCAGGCAGCTTTATGAATCTATGATTGCATGGAGTGACATTGCTGCACAGGAATGCACTCAGTATAATAGCACCAACAAACTGTTGTAGAATTCATAACTAGTATATTACGTAAATGCAAATGTATTTTAAAAAGGGTGCCACATATGAGGTCAAATCAAGAACCTTAAACAAATTAAACAAACAGCAAATTTCTCAAAGTTATGTCAGTGTTCTCTTTAAACCAGCTTTAATGTGTGTACAACGTGTTTGGGATGGGGTGTAAAATGTGCCTAGTCATCATGACTGCAAGATTAACAAGGCCAGTATTGTTGCGATTTTGGCAAGAGTGTAAAGTGTTTGGAAGTCCATCCATATTGTGCCAATTTTCTTTTCTTTTATTTCATTTCAAATGTAATGGCTTAAGGTTTAGATTTCAAATTCAAGTCGTTTTTGTGTAGCACAATACACCGTTTCAAAGCCACTTTACAGAAACTCATTATGTTAATGTTTATAATATCTTAATATGGTCATACTTTGTTGCATTTTAAAAACTGTAAAAACAACAGATTAAAACTGTGTGTGACCATGTAAACAATCAGACCCCAAAATTTTGATGTGTAGTATTTATTGCTTGGCATAAGAGTACTATATGGATGCAGGTCATTTGGGATGTACTATATATCCAACTTTAAATATATTTATGGGTGATAATATATTTTACTGTTTATGTATGTGTATGTCTAATCCTGCTTATATTTACATGATGCACTTATGGATTATAATGGGCATCTACAACCCATGTACGTGTATCCAGTAGTGTATACATGGTATAACCCGTTTTAAATTGGAAAAAACAAAACGTGAAAGCAGTAGGAGTTGTTTATTTATTGTCATCTCTTCATAGCAGAGTGGAAAAGTTTTGCGAAGCAGGCTGAGGTCCATGAACTGACCTGAAAAAAAGTTGCATTCTTAATAAACCGTTGTATAACTGTCCTCATTTTTCCCTTAATGCATTATCTAACAGAAGAGGGCCTGACTGTGGTCCTCATTTCAAGCCAGACTTCCTCCACAGTGTGTCTAGGAGGTTCTTCCCTCAGCGGAAGATGCTGAAATTGAAGTGTGATGAATAAGAGCGTGCTTGGCAACCCTTCCTTCTACATTTCCCAACTGTGTAAAAACAAGTTTCGCAAAACCTTCTTGTTTTTGACCATTTTAAAGTGTCACCTTTCAAACTTGTCTTCCAATTTACATTGTGAACTTCGAATGTTGAGAAAAGAGTTTGCAAGTGTTTGAGTTTCCTTTCATTGTGGCGATCATGTGACGTGACATCCAAAGAGTGTGGCGTTGTTTCTTTAACAGCAGTCGAAACAGCTGTTGGCCTTTGAATAAGAAGTGCTGCTCTGTGCGTTTCTACTAAACAATACTGAAAATCTTTTGGGCTGAATGGAGATAATGATATCTTTATCTAGCTAATGGGAGATTCCCAGAACTTCCCAGATATATAAAGTCTGTTTTCAGACGTGCTCAAATTCATGTCTCCAGGGAGTGAATGATTCTTTTCCTTATAACTTGGAAAAACATGTGACCTGGTTACACAGTATGACTAATTGTCTCTACACCCAGATGGTTTCCTGACACAACTGTTTTGTAATCTGCCACTTGTTACTCATCTAGTACAGAAAGAAGCATGAATTTGTAATCAATTACCATTTAATCTGAATCTCCCATTATCTGTTGCGCTTTTTATTAAATGGGTAATTTAGTGCGGGCAAGAATCTGCTTTTTAACTGGTGGTGATGCAGTATATTACTAAAGAGAAAAAGGGCTGTGCTGTTCCTTTTATCTAAAAGGTAGGAAGAATTGAATGCCTGTAACACACTGGGCTTGATCCAACTGTGTGTGAGGTGGGATACAAAACTGCAGAATTATGATCTGACGATTCTTTCACAAAGTCCTGGAGCTGTCAAAAGTTGTCCATTTACATGTATTACTTTTTTTTTTTTTTCTAGTATTTTAATGTTAATAAAATACGATTAAATGTGTCCCATTTAAAAAATTATATTTGGTTCTATATCGGTTGCAAAAATTGCCTCCTGCAATTTTTATTGCTTCATTATAGAAATTTAGGTCCTAACCTAAATCCCATGTACACTACTGTTGAAAAGTTTGAGGTTTGGAAGTTTTTATTTTATTATTTTTTTTTTTTTGTGTAGTAAATAAAGGAAATTAATAGTTGTATTCATCAAGGATGCATGACATTGATCAAAAGTGATATTAAATATATTTATAATATTTCAAATGTAAGCTGTTCTTTTGAACCATCTATTTTTCAAAGAACCCTGAATAAAATATCACTTTTCACAAAAATATTAAGCAGCACAACTGATTTCAAAGTTGATGATAAATGTTTTAAATAAATGTTGCTGTCTCGAGCAGCAAATCAGCATATTAGAATGATTTCTGAAGGATCATGTGACACTGAAGACTGGAGTAATGATGCTGAAAATTCAGCTATGCATCACCGGAATAGATTTTAAAATTTTAAATTACATTAAATTGTCATACCATTTCACAATATTATTGTTTTTACTTTTATTTGTAATCAAATAAATGCAGTTACTTTGTAAGACTTTCAAGAACATCAAAAATCATACCAACCACAAACTTATGAACAGTAGTGTACACTGATGAAATTGTATGATACTCCTAAACACTAGACACTTAAGGGGGTCACATGGGCCTCCCTTTCTTAACTCCATTCTCTGATGCTGCATTGTTTTGGGATTCACTTAAACATCTAATCATTGGCCTGTAGCTCTTAGAAACGCACACAGATGACTTCTCTGATTGGTTCTTACTTTAATCCCGAGAGGTGACTCTCGCTGAACAGTTTAACAAAAGGGCTGATTACATGTTACAAGACATCTGGCTTCCCAAGGGTCTGAACTTGGCCAAACGTTTCATAACACTAGAAAATGCATTAAGAACTAGTTTGTAAAGCTTTGAGGCACACAGCTTTTGCTGCTGTTATTTACGGTCTGATGGTTTTAATGCTAACTCTTTTACTGGATATGAAGACATACTTTCACACCCACGTGTGCCTTTGGCTGAACTCTTGTTTTCAAATTCATGTGAATGTTGCAGACACCCGGTTCCCACAAGACAATGTGTTTTGTGCGATGTTAGTCACTGGTAAACCACACCACTCTTTACTCGTATACGAATATCCAGATGTATACATGTACTGTAATCCTCGTAATTGTAAAGCATAAAAATAAACCAATATTTTCCGTTATTTATGGCTTTGAAATTGTAAAGGAGTTTTTATATTTACTATGACTTCATAGTTCTGTATCTTTTGCTCTCTCTAGGACATAGTGTCGTTTAACCAAGACAAAACCTGCTGTCCCGTGCCTTTCCCCATCATAGCCGATGACAAGAGGGAGTTATCGGTCTTACTGGGGATGCTGGACCCTGATGAGAGGGATAAAGATGGGATGCCCCTCACTGCCCGCTGTGTGAGTTTCCATCGCAACCATGCTTTAATTGTTCTCAACAGGGTTATCGAAGTTAACAAACTCAAACTTTTTTTTTTGTTACTTGAAATGAAATTAATGTTAAATTAATTAATCTAAAATTAACAAATTTTATTTCAGCTAGTTGCCAAAGCAACACTTCTAATTTTCATTTAGTTATATACTAAAATAACTAAATATAGAAATTAATCATTTATATAGATTTTAATACTAATATAAATGCATACAAAAATATTGTGCTGACACATAATCTGCTTGATTTATTTATAAAAAAACAACAAAAAAATATTAAATTTATAATACTTTTAATATAATATAATATTTAGTCCTATGTCTGTGATACCATGAATTTTTTTTAAGGGGATGTTATCAAAGTTGCAGAATTTGCATTCTGAAAATATTTTCATTGCTTTTATTATACTAATTATTTTATATTTCCTAACCTAAATTTCATATGCACTACTGTTCAAAAAGGAGTTAATGCTGTTGAAATGAAAAAAATGTGAACAAATAAAATCTAAAGTAAATTAATTTTATTATAATTGTTTTGGCTAGTTGCCAATGCAGCATTTCTTATTTCCATGTAGTTATGTACCAAAATAACTAAAACAAAAACCAAAATAAAAAAAATGCTATTTAGACGTTTTAAAACTAATAATAATAATGACAAAATTGCACAACACAATGACTTAAAAATTTAACTAAAGTAAAAATGGAAAATTATAAAAAATATAAAAATTCTAGAGCTGTAACAGCATCTCAATGTTACTAAAATAATTTGTAACATTAAAGTCTTAATTTGTATTTAATTATATTAAAGGGGTTGTATGATGCGATTTTTTTTTTTTATTTTTCCTTTCTCTTTGGAGTGTTACAAGCTCTTGGTGCATAAAGAAGATCTGTAAAATTGCAAAGACTAAAGTCTCAAATCCAAAGAGATATTCTTTATAAAAGTTAAGTCAACCATGTAACAAGTAGGTTCAACAAGAAGGCGTAACTGTTATTCTCGCTGTAGTATTGTTGTTGCTGCCGCCATGTCGTGAAGATGCTGTGTTTCGTTGTGAAAGCGAAACTACTTTGTTTGGTCTTCCAAAAGCGGACACGACTAGAAATCAGTGGTTAAGTTGTATTTACAACAGTTCCAGAACAGTTCAACCCAAATATTCAGATGTGTGCAGCACATTTTATGGAGGACTGTTTCCTGATCCTGGTAGAGTAGACTACAATGCCGGCTGTTCTGACTCACAGACCAAGTACGTTTTTTTTATATATATTTAAAGAATTTGCCACTGACGATTCAAACGCGAGTTTTGAGCAGTGTAGAGTAGCACTTGTTTGTAATTTCTCTGATCACAAATGCAGACATGGGTTTTATGTTTACGCAGCGTGAGGCAACGCGTAAAAAGACCGTATAAGTCATAATCAGTAAATGTCCCCACTGGATGCAACAAATGCCTTGTTTATAATGAGTTTTAATGTTTTTTGTCTCGTCGCTCCGGCCGGACACGGCATCACAGTATGGTAAGGGGCGTAACATTTCCGTCACACGCTTGAG